CGTACATACATAATATATACACACAATAATACAATAATAGTGAGAATACAATAATAGTACAATAGTATATATACAATATACATATATTAATATATATATATATATATATATATATATATATATATATATGTGTGTGTGTATACATATATATACAATACAACAATAGTATAATAATACAATAATAGGCTACCCAGCGTCTGATTGAATTGTAAGGAGGAATTGGAAAAGGAGGGTTTTAAATGTGGATAAGGATGGTGCATGGCGGATTTTAAGTGGGATGGAATTCCAAAATTTGGTGGATCGGACAATAAAGCAGTGTTGAAATGAGGCCGATTTGTGGAAAGGGGTATAAAGGTCGGAAGGACGAGATCTTGTGGAGAGGGAGTTGATAGATGACTTGAATTGAAGGAGATTGAATGCGCAGGACGGACGATGATTATAGATTATTTGGTAAAGGAATGTACCTAGGAAGTACTGTCTTCTGAAGGAGGGGAAGAGCCACCCTGACTCGGCGTAGTAGTGGGAAACCTGAGAACGTCTCGGGGTCCCATTGACAAATCGTACTAAGCCATTCATTATTCTTTTCAGTCTGACTCCAAGTTCCGATGAGAGGCCACCGTACACTACGCAGCCGTAGTCAATGTGGGGGAAGATGAGGGCGGATACTAGGAGTCTACGTGTGGATATGGGTAGGAGATTGCGGAAGCGATGGAAGAGTTTCAGGATGGAAATTGAACGTCGGGATATGAGGGAAATATGGTGATTCCAGGAGAGAGTTTGATCTATGATAACACCTAAGTTTTTAACTGAAGTGTTGAAGGTGATGGGTTGGTCATTCAGGTACAGGAGAGGAATGTTGGTATTTGATCTGAGAAGGGGTTTGGAACCGATGACAATGGCTTGGGTTTTAGCAGCGTTTAACCTTAATCCATTTTCACTTGCCCAGGCACAAATCCGATTTAGGTCTTCTTGTATTTTGGCAAACGCATCATGCCATTCAGAGGGAGTGAAGGAGAAGTAAATTTGGGAATCATCGGCATAAAGGTGATGTGAACAGTGAAGGATTGATTTATGAAGGTCGTTAATATATGAACTAAAAAGGAGAGGAGATATGCTGGAGCCCTGTGCCACTCCTGAGGATTAGTTAGATAGGATGATAAAGGTTGGTTCGGAATAGAGACTGCTTGGGTACGTTGAGAGACGAATGATTGAAACCAAAGGATAGAGATGTTGGAAAAGGATAACGATTTCAATTTGGAGAAAAGGATGGAATGGTTAATGGTATCAAAGGCTTTGGAAAAGTCTAGGAGGATAAGGACAGTTAGTTTTTTATCATCTATGGCTGACTGAACATCACTAACGATTTTGATTAGGGCGGATTGTGTGGAGTAGCCTGGTCGAAAACCAGACTGGTAAGGGTCAAGTTGATTGGACTGTTCTAGGAAGTTGGAAATTTGGGATTGGACTATTCGTTCTAGAGGTTTTCAGGTAGACAGGATTGAGATTGGACGGTAATCTTCAGGGGAAGAAGGGTTAGGATTTTTAAGTAAAGGACGGACAATGGCTTTTTTCCATGAGGAAGGGAATATTGCGTTCTGAAGGGAGAAATTGTAGATGAAAAGTAGAGCGGGAAGGATTTCAGGTAGGCATAATTTGATTAATTTGACGGGAATACCATCTGGACCAATGGAATTGGAATGAGATTTCATGACGGCGGATATGAGGTCTGTAGGAGAAATATCTGAAAAATAAAAGTTGTCGTCGTTAAATGATATTCCAGGAGTAAAGAAGGAAGAGGTTGATGGAGGAATGCAGGAGGAAGCTGATATAAAATATGAATTTAAATCATCAGGTTTGACTGGAAAGACTGCTGAGGAAGGTGATCTGGAAGAGTCACAGAGGGAGAGTTTACGAAGGAGTTGCCATTTGGTTTTGGAATCAGGAGCTGCTGAAAGGGCTTCGTGGAAATAGGAGGATTTGGCTCTTCGGATTTTGGTTGGTGTCAGGTTACGGAGCACCCTAAACGCTTGGTAGTCGTCAGCGAGCCTAGTGCGTCTAAAGCGTCTGCGGGCTGCATCGCGTCTCTTCTGAAGATCTTTAATTTGCTGACACATCCAGGGAGCCGGGGGGCGACGAAAGGTAGAGGTTTTGATGGGAGCATGGGAATCAAGGATATTAAGGAGGTTGGAAGTTAAAATATCAACCATAGAGTCAATACATGAACAGAGATATATTCCATTCCAATCAAGGGTTTCCAGGTAGGGTAAGATTTTTTCACGAGTGAGGACATCAATATTACGGAAAGTTATGGTTCTAGGTAGGATCGGAGGAGTATGGATATTATATGAAATTTGAATTTGGTCATGAGAGGATATAAAGGAGACCGGTACTTGTGAGGAGGAAAGGAGGTTCTGAGCGGAGTCGATAATGTAATGGTCCAACCAGGTATCGGACCTGGGGGTGTGATGAGTGGGCGAAAAAGGAACAATGAAAAGATGAAGAGAGAAAAAAAGGTTTTCGAGGTATGATTTATCGCTGGAATCGGAAAGGAAATTAGTGTTTAGGTCTCCGGAGATGATTATTTTGGTATAAAGAGGAACAAAGTTGAAGAGGGATGATTCAAATGATGGATCAAAGGGAACAAGAGGAGGTCTATACACTACGACATAAAGGATAGGAGATGTATCAAAGGAAATTTCAGCGATTAGGAACTCTACATGTGGGTGATCGGATGGAGGAGAGCAGTGGAGTATTCGGGTCTTCATGCATTCGTGAACATACAACGCTACACCTCCGCCAGTCCGGCTCGTCCGGTCGTGGCGGATTAGTGTGTAGTTAGGAAGGGAAACAGATGAGGAAGGGATGTAAGGCTTGAGCCAGGTTTCGGAAATTGCAATGATATGGTAAAAATTATGGGTAAAGTATTCAAGGAATTCATCATAGTGGGCTGGAAGGGATTGGGAGTTGACGTGACAGGTATTAAGGATGCTAGACATGATTAGGCTTGAGGAAAATAAAGTCAGAATTTGGTGAGCAGACGCTGGACCGGATATGATACATTAGATGAAATAATGTAAAAATAAAAATATAAGAAAAAAACCCATTAAAAAGAAAAAAAAATTGAATGCAATAATCAATAGAAATAAATTAATCAAAAATTTCCGGTAGTAACATAACATACATTTCAGATTTTCAGTGTGAGTCCTGTAAACTAAGTCAAATTGTTTATCGATGTTGAGGAGTAAACAGGGATCGAAGAGTCAGCCGAAGACGTCTAGGTCTTGACTCTGGTCGATAAAGACAACCTGATGACCGTCATCCTTTCGACACCGCAGTCTGCCGCCGGAGAACCATATATATTTTATTTTCCCTGCTGATTTCTTCTGCCGAGCGAGCCAGTAAAGGTACCTGTTCGTCGGGGTCATTTCCTCGCTGAGATAAATACGGTGGCAGTCATTTTCCTGCCAAACGATTTCCCGCGTCGAGAAGTCCCTTTTTACTTTTCGCTTCTGCACCAGGTCGTCTCTCACTGACTGCCTGACGAATTTCGCGATGATAGGCGGTGGTCGAGGGTCATCTTTTCTTGCTCTTCGGCGCTGCACAGTGTCTATATCTTCGCTATTGAGTTTAATGCCCAGACCGGCCCCAATACTTGTAACCAGGGCTGCGGGTGTCTCACCTGCTCGAACCGGGATGCCCCGTATCTCGAGCGATCTACTAAGCAAGCCCTGTTCGGCTTTATTCAGCCTGACCTCCAGTTCACCGACTTTAGATTTGAGGGCTTTATTTTCTGAAATTATTTCTTCAAGCTTCTTAGATTGTCCCTCTAAGTGATTTTCAATTTTAGATAGCCTAGTGTTTACTTCGAAGCTCAGATCTCCGTACTTGTCTAGTTTAATATTTTTTAATTCCTGGTTGAAAAAAATATCTAGCCGCTTTACTGCTGCCAGAATTTCTGATGGTGTAGGCTCAGTGTTGTGACTTTGATCTGAGTTTTCACCACCTGGTGGAATCTTTTTAGGCTGGTCGCAACTAGCGCATATCCATCCTTTTTTTGAGGATTTTTGAGCTTCAAACTCTTTATCACTGAGTTTACCGCACCTGCTGTGAAATAATAGTTTGCATTTAGCACAACATAAAATATTTTTCTCTTTTCGGCTGATGGTGCTGCTGCATAGCGGGCATTGTGCCATATTGTTATTTAGTAAATAGATCGTACTTACAATAACAAGCCGGGTTGTTATGATGTGTAATAGCAACAGCAGCGCTTAATCTTCTAGAGCTAAGTTGTTTACCACTGTCCCGTAGCTCGCAATAGTATAAAAACTTCGATACTTTCACTTTTCGATGAGTAGAGAGGAAATATGAAATGTCTATAATTTCTATTAATAAAAAATATTAAAAAGAAAAAAAAACGGCAGTCATCAAAGAAATTTTAACGAAATAGGATACTTAATAATACAGAGATATGTTGACTGGTTGCTGTCTCTGGCCAGACTCTGTCTGATATATATATATATATATATATATATATATATATATATATATATATATATATATATATTTTATTTATGACTATAAATATATGTATTTATGACTAAAACTTTTTATATGGATTTTAGATCAGGAAAAAATGTACAATAATTATTAAATAGAATTAATAAGTGCTTTAAAAAATGACATATTGATTGTGGTATTACAATTTCTTAGAAAGGATCCCTGATGATGGAGATCTAAATCAGTTTGAGAATTGCATATTAATAAAAATTCATTATAATGAAAATATATTATTTACTACATATATACATATATATATAGATCTGAGCATATTTAAATATACTTCTAATTAGTTTGAAAAAATGTTTCATATTTTATAACTGATGAACTTTGTTTATCCCCAAAACAATATTTATTGTAGTATTAGGAGCAATGAATTGTTAAAACTTTCTTTTTATGAATCCACTTGATTAAAATTTAATCTTAATACATTATTAAACAATTTACCTTTCTACATAATAAGGTCCATGTTCAAGTGATACTGGTACGACTTGGTAACAATCATAGGTTTTATTATATTCGTAGACAGATACCCTTTGCCAACTGTACTTTATTAATGGTATTGCTAGGTACTTTCTCATATTCTCAAGGTTATAATTCGCGGGGTAAACTTCTATTTTGTCAAGGAAACTAGGGCTATTTTTTTTAGGTATCGGGATCCAAGCAATGGCTGGTACACCACACTCTTCTCCTTCTTCGTTCTTGCATGTTGTCAGCCACTCCTCATCGACCCTGCAAGACATTTAATCATAATCATGATTATGATGATGATTGCATATTACCTGTTGACTATTACAAACAAAAATCCATATTTATGTTTAAGTAGATTATAAAAAAATAATAATAGAGTGAGCTAATATATTTTCTGTAGAGAATCGATCTAATAATAGCTTTGTAAAAGAATACTTCTACAATATTGCGGTCTAAGGCTATATGTGTATCTCTGACCGTTTAGAAAAGTGTATCCGGTTCTGAGTATTGGACATATGCTTACCAATCTTTTAAGGGTTAATAAAAACCAGAAGGAGATGAGAAGAGACAATGCGTAGTAAAAAGTACTCAGCAGCTATTCGTTGTTAGTCGAAAAAATAGGTTAAAAAATTATTAGGTGTGAAAAATGAATGTTCTTGCTCAAAATATGTCAAAATTTATAATTTAAAAATTTCAAGTTTTTCTTTTATAAGTAACTTGCAATTAATAGTTTGAAGCGATCAAACTCGGTGTATCATTGTATAATTAAGTAGTCTTAAGTATCATTTAGGTCTTATCCCCATTGATGCCACATTACAGGGATTAAATGCCTAATGTTCATATACGTCTTCCTCCAAAGTACCTTTAATATGGTTTATTTATGAACCATATTAAAGGTTTATTTATATGGTTTATTTAATTTATTTATGGAAAATTAATTCTCATTTATTGACAGTAACTGTAAAAAATGGCTAAATGTGATGTTTGAAAGAATATGATGATTGGAAACTGCAGAAAACAGAAGAAAAATGGTTATCCAGGTAGAAAATGAATCTCCGGAAATAATAGTCAAAAGGTATACGTAATATATATATATATATATATATATATATATATATATATATATATATATATATATATATATATATATATATATATAATACGTATAATATATCGTTGGAAAGCGAAGAATTTTAGAAAAAAATAATATCAAATAAATAAGGTTGTAGAAGGTAATGTAGAGTGACGAAAAAAATATAAATAATAATTGCAAAAACCAAACATTATTTAACGTAAATCACATGTTTCCAAGGAAATTAAATAAATTTTCTCCCTAAATGTAAACTTTTATTGTATTCCTGTTAGTAATATTTTATTGTAAAATTTGTTTCTAAGTTTTAAAAAAAAGTATTTAAAATCTACCGAACCAAGCAAATGCCATTGTTTGGAATACTATTTCATTGTACTTGTGTAAAAGAAGAAGTGAAATATTAAAATATTTCATGGATATGTTTATAATCTTAAATACGTTTAGTGTAGTTTAAAAATTCTAGATATGATATTATATTTAAATAATTAGGTATATATCGGCGGTTTATTCCGAAAAATCGTCTAGTAAACTTTTAGAAAATTAAATTAGTGAATAATTTGATGAATTTTCCCTTTTTGAAATCCCAACATTATCCACTTACAATTAATGTGACAACTTCTGATCTATGGTAGGCAATGAAAGTCTCGTAATTTCATTTTAGTAAACTTTGCAATGGAAAATAATTAACAGCCCTACAATCCATAATCATTTATAGGTTAAATATTCAGATGTATTTTCAAATGTCTCTTGGCAAATATGAGCCTTTCGATTGACAGAATGAGTAACTCCAATTTTAACATTCTTTATTATTAATTTTAGTGATGTTTCTAGTGGCAAAATGTATACCTTTATTCAAAGTTTTTGTTTCAATACTGCTATCCCCTACTCTGAAATTACCTTACTCACTGCATTTATATGTTTACTTTTCCAACTAGAAATATCACTACAATGACATTACTTGAAAATTTGGAAATTGGAGTTCGTCATTCTGTCAACTGAAAGGCTCAGAGACTGATGTTATGTGGTTTATAAAAGACGATGGAGTAACTTGATGTTTATTGCTTACAGTCGATATAGTAAATAGACTTATTGTGATTTTAATGGTCTTAAGTTTTTGTTATCTGTAAGCTTTAAGCTTTAGCTCCGTTTAAACTGCACTTGAAAATTTTTATAATAACCCAACATTGCCAGAAAATAATTTCGATTCAAAGCAGAGAAATAAGCGAAAGCTGTGTGTTGCGCGCACCAGACTTTTTATATTACTTTTTATTTTATAACATTAAAAGGTTTCATGTTACATTGATGACTAGCCTCTCTCTATTCTCCCTAGTCTCCCCTATATTCTCTGCTTTCCTAAAATCAAAATAGTATCGAAATATAAATTAATAGCAATAATAAAAACCATGAAATAATCACTAACAATAATGAAATGTCAGGTAATTTAAAAACAATAGAGTAGTTGTCAGATCTAACCATTAATACAGTTTAGGTCTTTGATTTTTCAATTATAGTAGTCAAAACTTTCTTGTGCGGCAGAAATTAGGTTGCATTGTGTCTGTCAAATTAGCTTTAGCAGCATGTTTTTATATTATAAAGTAAAGAAGTTAATGATATTTGCAATAAATAAGTCAATTTGATCTTATATAGGACTTGGAGTGTTACAGTCGTTGAGGGACAAGAGCCTACCCTCTCCAGTCTTCTCATGCTATGAAGGCCACTCTATGGCTCAGAACAGTAAACTTTGGCACCACAGGCCAACTGTAACATTAGTCTCAGCTATGCAAAATGACGAATATGGGCAATTTTATACCAAGCTTTATTGAGAAAATACTAAGGAAAAGGTACATTCAAAGCTGTTCCTAGAAGGTCCTTATTAAAAGAGAAGATGTCTACTCATGAAAAGTATTCTTAGAAGCATGACGGGAATGATTATAAACACCTAATAAACACGCCGAATGAATACACCTTCTCTCTGAGATGAATTCCAATCAGCAGATACTGCAGTATGGAGGTCGAAGCTACAGATCACATAATATGTAGATGAGATGTTTTAGCTATAATGCGGTACATCCATTTTGACTGCTACTGTATTATTGACTCAAACCTAGGCGAATCGATTAATCATAATAGTATATACAGATTCGCAAAGGCTATTGTCCTGTTTTACCAGAGTACAAGTCAGCGCATAGGAGGGTCACAGTGAAACCGCGATGAAGTTAAGCCGAAAATAAAAAAAAGTTACGTATATGGCACAAAACAATTACTTGGTTCGCTATTGATATAAAAACAAACAAAACATATGCTGTAGGAAAACTGCGGATTATGACGTTTTTTATTTAGATTATATTAGTTTATAGCTTATAGATTCATAATTTCTTCCAACTGCTACACATACTGGAATCGGATGCAAGCAGCACTTATAAATGAATTGACGTTATTCAGAATATTAATTGAGTAATACAAAAAATTGAGAAACTTACCTTAAATCTGATCTTTGGTCCCAGATGTATGGATCGAAAAACCAATTTAATGAAAACCAATGTAGAAATTTATGGCTGTAATACTTTTTTTTGACTGCTAGGTCAAGTTCTGGCATTGACATGTCTTTGATTGTTACATTATACTTGTTTATGAGGATATCGATAAACGGATAATTATAAAAAGTGATTTGCTGCCGCAGATTGTATCGATATAAAAGCTTCAAGATATGTGGAATCACCTTATCGCATGGCCTCCTCATCGTTGAACCAATAGGAAATCTCTGCAAATAATCATTTGTTTAATTTAAATACTAATATAGCTTTGTTTTTAGTATGTTTATCGGGTACACAAGATATACATGCACGTGCTAAGAAAATAATATACATCATATTACCACAAGCATTTACATTCGATATTTTATAAAACCCTAAAAAAAAAAGAAAAGAACATGATCCAAACTCTTATTTGACCTCTCGATTGCTCACATAATGACCTTGTAACTGACTTTTTTGTCGGCTTCTATGGTAAAATACTAAGGGTTTATATAGTATTTTACCTGTTTAAAAATCATGGAATGATAGGACTAACACGAGAAGACAGATATCTCAGAGGCCTGGATTTGGTTGGAGAAAGGTTTTAGGTTTGAATATAATAATTACAAAGGCATATTACTCCTACTAAAAATATTATCTTAAAAATATAATATTACCACATACAACAAGGAAGAGTCAGAAAAAGAAGGGTCACGCGTGACCAGATCTCCCTTATTAAAATTTAAACTACACCACTTTACTAAGTTTTTATGTGATAATTTATAAATTTAAGTGAACTTTCAGTTAGTTTATAATTTACATATTGATTCAATTTCCTAAAGTTTTAATTAAGATTAAAAATGTTTTACTTTAAAAATTATTATCTCGCTAAAATGTTTACGTTGAAATGTTTCGAATGACATACAAACATTAGAGTTCATTATTGCGTGTTAAAATCCTGTGATTTTTTGCATTATTTATTTAGAGAGTAAATGAATTTTTAATATAAAAAAAATGAATTGTAGTCCCTTGTAGAATGTAGAATCTGTTTTTCATGTTTTATTATTCGCTGATTATCCAGCTTTAATAAAAGACCAACTATGACGAAATTAAGCCAAATGCTGATTCTCAGTAACAAAAAAACTAACTAAAGTCGTCAATCCGCCAGTTTTGTACGCCATTTTGGGGCACCATTTTTTGTGGGAACATTGGCTTTTTTTTAATAAACAGTTACAAGGAACACAACGATATGCAATTTATAGGGATGTGGGAGGGGTGCACGGTAGGGGGGTCTGGCCCAACGTGTAATATCTTGGTTGGACCATACCTCAGTGATTCACTGCTTAGAGGAAGGTCCTAATCTCATTGAATTAATTGCTATATTTTTAGTTAGGTTTCGTATGGAACGCTTAGGAGTCATAGCCGATGCCTATGACTTAAAGCATTAAAAAGCATTTCTTCAAATAGCAATACATCCTGATTACCGAGAATTTTTAAAATTACTATGAACAGATGTTAATGGCAGTCTGAGAACTTTTTAACTTGCTCGTGTTTGGCACTAATTGTAACCCTCATACTTGCAGCTCAGTTTGAACACTTTCTAAACAGAATTGAAGAAATTTATCGTCGAGGTATTTTTAATTATTCAGAAAAAAATATTAGAAAAATTCAGAAAATCTCTTTAGGCTGACTATTGTGTTACTAGTTTTACTATATGAAAATTAAATTAAACTTTTTATTGAAGAAAGTACTGCTATTTTTTAAACAGTTGCATTTGAGCTTAGAGGGTGGGAGTACAATTCCTCAGAATCTACTTACACCCCGGTCCTAGGATCATATGGGGTCAGAAAGCTGATACTATTAGAATCTAAATTCCTGAACTACCAGTAGTAAAAAAATTGTCAAGAAGAAAATATTTTTATATTTATATATATATATATATATATATATATATATATATATAATATATATATATATATATATATATATATATATATATATTATATATTCTATCAATCGTTCAGAAAATAGTTGACCCTAGCGGGATTACTTCACCTGTCACAATTATACCTAGACGATCAATACAGAAGAATTCCGAAATTGGAAGAGAACAAAGACCTGAAGAAAGAGGGTGATAGTTTATTATAAACACGATGTGGCAATGCCACCACGGTTTCTTAAATGATTTATCTAGCCCACATTGGTTTGACAGTTTTTAATATGGTTATGCTTTGTAATCTGTTTGCATTAATTTCTATAAACGTTTTTAGAGTGGTTGAAAACTCTTCAAGGTGGGAGAATGTTCTGGAATTAGTTAAGATAAACTATGACAAACGTTTGAATTTTTTTTATTACTATGTGAAATGTAGTATTTTTAATTGCAGGCAACAATGCTGTTATGAAAGGTTATTTAAAAACAAATGTTATTAATTATTTTTAGAATTAATGTGTGTGTTAAAAATCTTTGTAAAATTTGTTGAAATATAATTCTGTGTGCTTTTTTTTTTTTTTTTAATTGCACTCAATCACTGCTTTTTGAAGTTACCATAGTTACTTACTTCTGTATAATATGTAATGTATGCTTTAGTGTTCCATTGCACTTTATACTTCTAATATTTCTTGCCTTCTCCCAACTAAATCTCAAAAAAAAAATTCGAGTAGTCAATATTCTTGTGCTTGTTGCTTAACGTCAATAAATCTGCAAACATTTAAGATAGCAAATCCATAATGGAAAACCCACATAAATCTTAAAGATCAAATAATCGGAAAACAACAAATAACAGTACATGCCAAAGCATAAGGATTCCAGGAAACACGTAGTTATTGGGGTAACACGTGACTATCTTAATATAATGGATATTTAGCTCGCCAAATTTTAATCCTCCTAAAAATGACTTTTGAGGTTCTCAACTCAATGATCTATTTGTTAACTTTGATAAACATAATTCAAAAGTAATTTAATTATTCGTTTCAGGTTAAATTTTTATTCTGAAAACAATATTTTTGAAAAATAATCAATTATTATACATTTTTCTGGTAAAAGTTGTTATATTAAAAATGTTTATTTATTAAAATCCTCACATTAACTCTTGAAAATCTATTTGTTTTTTAAGTAATTGGTTCTGAAATAATAAAGGCTCGAACAATCTTATTTTCATAAAGTTTTAAGTAGTAAACAAATTCTTTTTAAGATGTACAGAAAAAAAAACAATAAACAAAGCTAATTGTTAGAGCACTCTTAGTTCGATTCCATTAGACAGCAATAGTTATATACTTTAGCGCTATATGAAGATGTATCAAAGCAAAATCAGAAACTCACGCATCCTTTAACGTAGAAGTGATCATAATCGTGTTTTTGAAATTTTTTAATTGTCAATCTTTGAATGAAAGATTGGAAGGATATCAAATTTTCATCACCATCTATATCCTCGAGCTCAGTATAATAGAATTCTTCATTATTTGTCATACCAATAGGTTTGAGTTTTTTAGTTGGTATTGCCCGATCTTGTCGCCTCAGTATAAAGCTTTCAGTAGACGAAGAAGGACTTTTTTCATTATTGAATTCATCTAACTGACTATTGTCTTGTAATGAATCATCATAACTAAATTGATTATGGTATGTTATATCAGAAATAAAATCATCTTGACTGTAGTAATGTTGGTTTCCGAGAATATCTTGAAGATTGTCAGCCTCCCTTCCGAAAATATCTACGTTATCAAAATCTATATCTAGATTATTATCATCTGGCATACGAAAAGTACTTATTTCATCTCCAATTGAATCGCATCTCACGCTGAAACCAGTAACATGTTTTCCCCTTACTTTTTTCATTTTATAATCATTCCGGTATTGTCTATCTGTTTTTATTTTATCTTTAATTTCATTTTTACAATGAAGTCTATAAAGTTCTCTGATTAAAACTCTGATTTTTTCTGCTGAAATATAGTTAATATTTTCTTCTCTTTTTGTTAAATAACTACCAACTTGCAGCACGGACTTCATATTAAATTTAAAATCCGATAAAAGGTACATTTTCTCAGTTGGCAATGAAATATCATCACGCGAAGAGATTCCAACATAATAATATCTGGGATATGAGAAAAAAAACATAGCACCGAAGAGATAGTTTTCTATAAAATTGAGCCTTTCTTCGTTTTCATCCACTTTAAATAGGAATTCTCTATCACCTTTGTGGATAGCACGACGCTTTATGGCATCTTTTAAAATTTCATATTCCGAATCTTCTTCTATATCACAGTCGATGGTCATCGAAACGGCCTTCTTAGAACTGTACATAGCCTCTTTTTCCTTCTTACACAATTTTTCTTTAAATATTTTCCATGTCCGTTTGTCTTCTATTGTGCCCTCCGTTTTATCAGAATTTTTGATCCTTAATTTATCTAAATTTAGGTAAGACCTTTTATGAAGGTAATTGAGTCCGTAAATGTAGTATTCATCAGAAACGCGAAGAAGATTGAATAACGAATGCGACTCCTTCTCTGGAAGATAATGAAATTGATAAATGCTCGGTGTGTTAAAACCATATGAAACCACGGGTCTCCTTATTCTGCATTTCTGAATACTAGTCTTTGTCTTCTCATTTTCCGATTCTCCGTAATGTGAATTTTTTTTAATTGTATATAATTTGGATAATGTGATAAAAGGAATATGTGTGTAGACCAAATCAATCTTGCGTAAGTCAATATACGAAGGAGAAAGTATTGGTCGAGCATAAGAAGGAAAAAATAATTTTACCGCTTTCCAAGGATTCAATAACATTTGTATGTACTCATCCCAAGTTAAATATTCATTCAAACGATTTTTGTAATCACTGAAGTAATAAAACGGGACTCTTCTTTTTATAGGTCTCTTTTTAAGTTGGATTTTGTCATGTATGTTTACCACCGCTTCTTTCAGATTTATCAAATTACTATATCCCCCTAATGGGGCTTCAAATACTAATTCTTCATTAACTTCCTCCAGCGGAACATATTCGCTATTCGTCAAGACATTAAATCCACTGTCAGATGAATGAAAGCAATCATGCACATAATAACCATAATACTTTGCGACAAAATGTTTAAAAAACGGAATAAATAAATTTTCCATATTTCCCGTGTGTTTTATATTACTAAATTGATCGCAGTCAGCTTCTCCTTCGCTAATACACTCTAACTTATCGTATTTGTCAGAAACGTCAATAAAACGGCCCTTTCTTTCTTCAGGATATGGTGTCGTTACCTGACTGTGTACATCCAATGATAACTCACTTGGTTTCTTTGAACTTCTTTTAAAAAAAACGTCTAACGACCACTCCGAACCCGATTTTTTATCAACTTCTATGACAGATTGACCAGGAGAAAGTGGAGTTTTTTCTATAGACTCTTGATTATTGTCATTAGAAATTTCCTCATCGCTTTCATCAAACTGAAAACATAAATCGAATTGTTTGTGAAATATTCCTACACTTTTGCAATACTTTAAAGAGATTGTTGGCAGAATTTTTTCTTCGTATTCTTTGGTCGTCCGTTGAACAATAAAATTGTTTGAAACACAGATAATTGGGTGGCATAAGTGCCCTATTAAACGTTTAAATATTTTAAAACAACGCCTTAAAAAAGAATTTCGTTTCTTGTTTCTGCTTCTTGCCATCATTTGTCTGCTGCATCCGTATACTGTGCAAGGATCCTTTTTTCTTTGATTTAAATATACTGCTGCCAACTTGTCATAAGATGATGGGTTGTTAAGACCATAGAATTTGAAACCCGGATGGAATAAAACATGAGGATCGCCGAAAGCTAAGCGTGTAATGAGGTAAGTTCGAGAAACGTAATCATACGCAGGTAACGATGTAACACAACGTGGTGACATAACAGCCAAGGCAGCTCGTCTACAAATCCATTTATTAACTAAAGTGATCCATCCTGAATACCATCCAATGGGCCATATTTTGAATTGTTTGAAGTCATGATCTGCTACTTTGTAAATAGGTACAATTACATTGTCAGGTAAATCCATTTTGCACATCTTCTCAACTAATGGAACGCCGTGATAAGAAATCTCTGATGAGTGTAAAGATAAATCCTTATTGGTAGAATATATACAATCCGAAAGGCATTCTGCTGTGTCAACCGCTGCTATGTCAACCTTTTCTTTTCTTTGCCTTCGCTCTATTATTGACTCGCTATCAACAACGTGATTTTGATTATAAAAGTATGTATTGTAATTGGTATATTTCAATTCTTGTTCTTCTCTTTCCATGAAGGTAATGACGCTGTCAAGGGAGCGACTAGTCATCGAACGAAGTGCTCTCGCAGAATCTTTAGAAAACCCTGGCAATAGTTGATCATCGTTAAAAATAATTAAATCATCTTCTGAAGATTGACGAATAGCATCTGAACCTTGGACACATGATTGTTCAGAACAAATGTATCCGAAATCTTCTTCGGATCCAATTTCGCTTTCTTCTAAAATTTCCTCTTCTGTAACCATTTCCTCTGTTTCACTTTGCTCTTCAGCTTCACTAATTCTCAAATTGTCGATATAATCTGTTACCTCATTCAGCATATCACTATGGTGGAATTTAGTTAATATTTCAAAACAGTATTCCTCCATCTCATCAAAAGATGATGTCCTTGTGTCTTCAAACATCCGGCGTATTAAATAATCATTCGAATGGAATTTTATACCTAGGCAATTGAAATGTTTATAATTGATTTTTTTAAGCGGAATATAGTTAACTGGCGTCCATGCTTTTTCCAATGGAGGATTTGTAGGAATATTGTCACCCATATTATACCGATAGAACTGTATAATGTCCAAATAATTTGCAAGTCTATTCAAATCCCCAACTCGTTTATTCTTAACAATATTTCTTTGTGTTGTTAAACAAGGTTTTTCCATTTTGAGCGGTCTAATTTTTTTATTATAATGTAATATATGCTTAAGAGGTTTAATCAATACCAATTTAGGAGCCACATGCCTGTTTCCTTTAATTACTTTCTTGCATTGAAAAAGATCTTCAACAATCCAAAACCTACCACTTTTCATCTTTTTAATGACATCGGTCATCCTACTCCGAACTATCCACCATGGAATGTAAGTTATCGAATAATCTTTATATGTATATCGAGTCTTCTGCTCTGGACTAAAATCTTTCAATTCTGAATCATTGATCACAACTAAATCCTTAGGAACGTGGCGTGAAATTTTCCGGTGACTTTTAATTATTTTCTTTGCATGTTTAACTCTTTCTTTATTATCACTAATATTTTCTTTGTTACAAAATATCTCTTTCTGCCAAGGTTTAATCAATTTTTGATAGTCACAAATTTTTCTTTCTAGTTCAGAACTTTTTTTTAATATGCAGGCCGTTCGTTCCTCATCCTCGTATGTTGCAAACGTCAACCTTTTTTTACGAAACTTGAGCTGCTTTGGTGCAATTGGCTCAAAACTCGAATCATCCTGAAGTGTGACTTCTTCCTCCTCCATTTGAATATAACTCAGTTCCCTTGTAGGTTTGATATTTTTCTGGTTTCTTCTTATAATTTCTTGTGAAAATGTGCCACTTTGGCTATCAATACCAGTATTATCATTGTCAATAATAATTTCTTTGAGTACAGAATACATTGTTTCTGAACTGTCATTATTTCTGTTTATTTCTTTGTCTTGTTCGAGCATAAAGGCCGATCGTTCTTTGTTGTCATATTTTGTAAATGATTCAATTTCTTTTAATACTATCTTCTGATTGTTTGAATCAAGCTGTAATTGACCATCGTTTTTTTCATTTATTTCGTCTAAATTCTGTTTCAGTATAATTTTATGTACCTTCCCTAATATTTCATACTTTGAAAGATCATATATGGCTTTAATATTTCGAAAATTAGAATTCGATTCTCTGATCAAATGAAAAGGCAATGAATTTCTGGGTAAGTTATCTAAATACTTAACGTTTGTAAAGTCCATAAGCGGTAGTGAATGAGCTCTTATTTTTCTGTTTAAAAATCGATCCGTTTTTCTAACTTCAGCCGGATAAGGAGGAGCCCATATCCCAAAGGATCTTTTTACAAAATATTTATAGAATGATTTGTTCCTATTAAGAAAATAAACTATTTTTGAAAAGTGATGATTGTTTCTTTTTGCAAATTCTCTGGCTCTAATTACTATGATTTGGAAAACCTTTTCATAATGTCTTAGACGTACTTTACTAATATTATAAAAACATTCAAACATATGATCAAGTAATGTTTTGCATTTCATAGGAGAAATATGAACACACTGGATGAACTCTTTATTAAATATATGGCGTACTGGTGGATCGTACAAATATCTATACTTATCTTTATAATTCACTGTTATTGCTTCTGCCTCTTTATTATAAAAGGACCAAATGTTGCCGATCATCTTTCTTTTCGGAAAATACCACCCCTCGGGCAATTGAGGAACATCTTGTTGATATAATAATTGAGTATTCGTTATGAATTTTAACGTTTTCCTTACCAACATTTCATTCGTTTTTTGTTGGGCTAAGATTCTTCTATAATGACACATCATATGTTGATACCTCAAAATATTTAGCATCACTAATGCTATAATAGTATTACACCTAAGGCTATTGTAACGCACGTCAATTTTTTTGAATATATCAGCACGTGTATAAGGTTTCAAATTGTCATTTGTATGCATTTCACCTGTTTGTTTCGAAAGAAACATATAGTTGTGTCTATGATACTTTAAACGTTGCTGAAGTGATTTTGGCCATCTCGACTCCTCATCACTATCCCTACCAAAAATACCAAAATCCAAAATATTATGTTCATTATTCAATTCCAATTGTTTTATTAAATAACTCCTGTTATCGCTGTTCTGTTTGTTGCATTTGGAAATCTCCTTTGTAATATCGTAGTTGTCAGCTGATATGTGTGTGAAAATTGTAGACAACGTTTGGGGGCTTGACGATGGTGTAGTATATCGAACACTAGAATCTACTTTTCCAGAGCTTGTGTCGCGAGTATGAAGGTTCCATCGCTGCTCTAAAATGGATAATGGTCGTAACCAGGGCTTATCATCCTTTTTCGTCATTGTCTCATCATCAATCATTGTCTCAACATCATGAAAATAGTAAAAAAATCTCTTTTTTTGTGTGTCAAATACAGACTTGCCTTCAGTAAATGTGTCATATTTTTTTAAAAAAAGAAAGCATAAGTTTTCTAAGAAATCTTTGTAATAATCGAAATCATTTTCCGTTCTGATCTTGAATTCATTTATCACCAACATGAGGAAATATAATTTAGTTAAAAATTCATTATATGTTTTTGAATACTGACTTCTGCATTTTTTTATTGTTTCAAAAAGATTAAAATCAAAATAATTCTCTTCAAACCCCGATGACTTAACCTTAAATTTCGGTATTGGTCTTGGTAACTTAGATTCTTCCGAAACTTTTGAAGATGTAAGCGTATCCTTATAATGAATCTGCCAACAACGCACTATTAGGTGTAAGACATCTTTCATTTGGGCCCGTTTTACCATGCGACGATAAAACTTGATAAGAGAGCCAAAACATTCTTGAGGACGAATGCTGGGTCTATGGCCCCATTTTCCTTCTATGCTTTTCAAAGGAAACATAGATAGCCTTCCGCATTCATTGATGTACGGTATAGTTTCAAGATTGTATGATCCGCGTTCTTTTGTTGATTTCAATTGTTTATAGTAGACCCGTTGATACGCTAGTTTATTACTTTTCAATTTCAACTTTTGTCCATGAAGAGCGTTGACAGGTATCGGTTGCTTATCAGACAATAAATTACTGTATCCCACTTTATCACTTGTCGTTAATGAATATTCACTGAACACATTTGTATCGTATGATACATGTTTAGGTCTAGATAAAATACGGTATTCATAACAAATATGGATAGAATCTTTCCTCCAGGGTATTTTATGGGCCTTTAATTGGGTATTTTTTTTCATATTACCAAATAACTGCTCATGTGATAGTAACCCTTTAAAGAGTGATAGCCGTTTTTTATTTTGAATGGATGAATATCGGCGAACGCCAGCTCGTGGAATTTCAGGTCCTCTTATTGTAATCGGTTTACAGTTGTATATAGCTTGCATACCGAGCTCGATCTTGAAACTCTCATTATTAAAAAATTTATCTTCTAACCATCCACATTTTTTAAATCTATAAATAAGCGATTCGTTCAAAACTTGTATAATATATTTATCGATGTCCCTTTTGGAACCTACTTTTCCAAATGAAGAGATTACATTATTTTGATCAACTAAATTATAGCCGTCAGGTTGCTCAATCAATCCGCAACAAATTTTTTTGTCTTGCTTCTCTATTCGTTTTCTGAGCATCGCTTTTTTCAGAAAAAAATAAATATATGGATAATATAATGGGCATGTTAATCCATGGCGGCAGTCGCATAGTCCAAAAAAATTCACCAAAAACCAATCATCCTCCTTCCTCCATACTTGCAGGATATTTTTTTTAGAAGCGCCTGTTTTCCAAAACAGTGTCCAAGGATCCGTGAGCAATGGGTTGAATACCTTGCAGCTGTAACTGTTCATTCGCTCACATCTGCATTTGCATTTGGCATAAGCTTTGCCCATCCATTCGTCATTCATAAATTTCAAATCTACATCATTCACTTCTTCTTTGGTCCTTTTCTTAAAATAATAAGGGAAACAAGATTTGCAAGGTATTTCCCTTCGGTGAAGAATATTTTTTATTGCTTTTTCTCGTTTAAACCATGAATGAGCATCATCTCTTCTTATATTTAAAAACCTAGATACGCTTCTTGGTATCTTGAAGTATTTGGGAAAGCGGATTAACCTAGAATATTTTGCAGCTAACTTTTTTTCTTCGTCAATATAAACACCTTGAAGGGGGAAATGTACCTCTCTTGAAAAGTAATTTTTTTCACTATTTACATTGATTGGTATTCCTTTTTTGAAATGCATTAATGTTTTCATAATATCATCGTAACTTTTAACGGATCTGCATCTGGCACACAGGATATTATATATAGACCTTAAAAAGGCTTCGTTAACCCCGCACCTATAGGTAACCATTGGTGGTGGAAGGTATTGTTTCCTCGAATGCTTCAATATAGTCAACAATCGCCATTGTCTGTCGTCCAAGTATTCGCAGAAAGTTTCTTTATCCGCTTTTTGGACTTCTATTCGTTTATCTATTTTTAAGTTATGTGGCCCATCGTAATCAAAAAGTGTGGAACGCATAAACAGGTGTAAATAAGTTTCGGCGAGGCTATAACTGTGTTTAATGGTAGTTAAAATGGATTTTCTTCTCTTATCGAAGTTCCTCAGCCTGAAAAATATACAAGACATATTATCATATCTGTAATATACATAATTGTTCATTAGCATATATGAATTAACCTAATGGAATGCCAAAAATTGTATACATATATTTCATTAGTTACAGTTAGTTACCGTTGACATTTATTGATCTCTAAATTTTAATCTAAACAGAAAGAATAATTTTTCGAGAGAATTAAAATGAAATATTCAAAACGTTTGAAAGTTATTCTATTATTCGCCCTTATAAGATTCCTATCATAAATTTCATATTACGTAATAGTTAAACTCATTTATCGATAATGGGCATAATTCTTAGAGTGGGCAATACCCGCTCTACCACCAAAAAGTATAGTATTTAAAAAAAAAAAATCAGAAATAATTAAAAATTCAAAGGATGGTTTTATTTTTACTATTTTATGTTCATATCTCACTATAATTATTTTCCACGTGACAGATTATTATATTTCTAAATAAATAAATAAAAAAAATTCGTATTTATTTATTTTATTTTCTAGGTTTGGGAAAGTTTAAGGCTACTAAGCAGTTGAAGCTAAACTCACTCTAAAGTATTTTAAAATTTAATAACTTACAACATTTGCTGGTACAGATTTAGCGTGAAATCTCTGAAATAATCTGTATATCGTTTGATCCAAAAAAGAGCTTTTTCCCTGAAAAAATATAAAACAAATTAATATATACCATAATTAATCACAAAGTTAGTATTAAAGTTGATTCTTCTATTCTATTCTATTCTAACTGATTACCCTTTATATCAAGTCAGCTAATGAGATATACTTGGTCCTGTACTCATCATGTGTTTGAAAAAGCCAATATAACCCAAATTTTAAGTGTGTCAAAAGATGAGGTTAGTTCATATATATATATATATATATATATATATATATATATATATATATATATATATATATATATATATATATATATATATATATATATTTATTTATTTTAAATTTAATTTTTAAAAACATAATAAATACCTATATTGAACTGAAGATGTTTGTCAGGTTAGCAGATTGTAGCTGTCACTTATAATGCAGCCACATGGGATGGAATTGTATTTGGATAATAACCGGTTATTGGTTATTCCGTTTTTTTATCTTTGCCGTTAGAAATAACCGGTAATGAAGATAAACGATTTTAGTTATTTATATATACGTGTTCATACAGGGTGTATCAGGATCATCAGACCATATGCCAGGAGGTTATTCCACACCTCATTTGTAATTGTGTCATCATAAAAAATGTCTACATGAAAACCCACTGGTTATCACATGAAAATGAGATTATTTTAAATCACAATGCCTAAAAAATATTGGTTTAATTTTATATATATAGCAGTGGGAGCGGGATAGCTCGATGAATAAGACAATGACTTCGAAAGCGCAATGTCCTGGGTTCTAATCCGCCTGGCAATTGTTTATATGGCAAGTAATTATTTATTCTGTTCTATCAGTCGCAGATAGAACCTGGGGTCAGAGGATCTTCTTGGTATACACCCAGCTAGTATAAAGTGGGTACTCCTAATTAAATAATTAATTACGGGGGGGAACCTGACGGTTTAGCTTGATCCCGGGCCGCTTTCATCTTTCATAAATTTTGTACTAATTAATATGTTTTATCTTAGTTCATTGAACTCCTTCTTGTCAGTAATTATTTTAGAATGTATTATAAAACTGATCATGGATTTAGTTAAAATATTTTCTACTTATTTTCCTGATTGGCATATTTTTTTTTTTTTTTTTTCGCCGGCCCAATACTCCCACTGAAGTCCTATAATGCCCCTGATTGGCATGTTATGTCCCTTACCTTCATGGTCCACTTCGTTTATTCAATCATAATAAGACGCCGCTATTTATACTGATCTCTATAGAGAGATTTTCACCCAACATCATTAGAATCATATCTTGAAGTGAATCCCAAAAAAAATAGAAGTTAACATTTTCCTTTCTTTCTTTATGCGATTTGAATATTTTAAATTGTACAAAATGGGAGCATAGCCATTATATTTGATAACTGTTACCTCTAGATTGGTGGACAATCAGTAAAACATAGCTTAGTTATACAATTATTTAATGAGAGAAACAATAGACTATTACACTTTAGCATCGTGACTAGGAATAACTGAACAAACCAGTATTTCAGCCGCAAGCCCGTAATGCTGGTTCTAGGGTTTCCGGTTCCTCACGGGCCTGAAGATTCGGCGCCCCAATACTCCAAGATGGTCTTCAACATAACTTCACACTAGTAAGTAGTTTGTTTTAATTTGCTTATGTCGATTTAATAGGGTACTTACTTGGAAACAAAAAGGTGTAAATGTAAGCCGTAAATGTAACCCAGGAAAGATGTAAATGTAAACCAGGAAAGTAACACAAAGATAAGGATCACTAAATAATCGATAATACAATCGAGACAAAACAGTCTCCTACGTTGATTAAAATAATTATGGAACGTTATAGTCTGCATAAATCAAGGGGTAAATTCGATTACATATTGCAGCAGTATTATATCCATTAATATCGAGTTTAACTATATAGTGAAGCTTCCCAATTTTTTGAGTTACCGTTCCGAGTCTCAAGTTGATTTACCAGTGTGGAAGTACCACCTTGCTTGCACGCGATCTCCCACGCTTAATTGACGTGTTCCCTGAGTGGTGCTGGAAAGAGCTGGTGTTTGTAGAGGTGGCTTCAGTAGATCTAATTTAATCCGTATTCTACGTTTTAGGTACAATTCCGATGGTGATTTTTCACATGCTAACAGAATTGACCAGTATCGGATTAAGATTTCTTGAACTTTTCGTTGGAGAGGTAATGTAGAACAAGTCATGGTCAAAGTAATTTATGTTTAAAAGTCTGGATATTACGTTCTGCGATTCCATTGGTAGCGGGATGGCCTGGTGCTATGAGCTTTTGTTGAATGTCATGGTTTGAACAGAATTTGAGAAATGTTTAGCTTTTGAAGTGTCTCGAGTTCTTGCTCTACTTCTGCTTTCAGTGCTTTTGGTACCTCCCTAGCTTTAAAAGCTACGGGTTTGGCGTTGTCTCGTAATTTAAGAGAAATTTTGAACATTTTGCAGCAGCCTACTTACTTACTTCTCGGCGCTATAGTCCGCGTGGGACCTTGGCCTTCTCAACAATACGTCGCCACTCGTCTCGGTCCAATGCGACAGCCCTCCACCGCCTGACAACAAGCTGTCTCAAATCCGCCTCAACATCCTCCAGCCAACGAAGTGGTAGCCTTCCTCTCCTTCTTGCTCCTCCAGGTCGCCCATACAATATTTTCCTCGGTACTCGGTGCGCTGCCATCCTTTCCACATGCCCTAACCATCTTATTCGTCCTGCCTTAATGACACTTATGAGATCTGCGTCCCTGTAGAGTTGTCGCAACTCCCGATTGTATCGTGTCCTCCAAACAACTTCTTGGCATACGGGCCCGTAAATCTTCCTAAGAATCTTACGCTCCCACACTCCAAGAGAACTCTCATGTTTTGCTGAGATAACCCACGTCTCGCTTCCGTATGTGACTACTGGACGAATCAATGCTTTATAAATTGTCAATCTGGCATTCCTTGATAGTCTTCGAAACGTGAGTAGTCGCTGTATGGCATAAAAACATCGGCTTCCCGCAGCGATCCTGGCTCCTATCTCAGCTCCTACATCATTGTCTGCCGTCATAAGGGATCCCAGGTACTTGAATTCTCTGCATACTGGGAACTCGTGTTGACCTATGTTTAGAGTCCGATCTTGATGGGGGCGATGTCTTGAACTCTTCATGTACATCGTCTTTTGCTCGTTTATTTGCAGACCTCGAGCAGCTGCAGCAGTCTCAAATTCCTTCAATGCACCCGCCAGCGCTGGGAGCGTCCTTGCCACAATCTCTACATGATCTGCGTACGCCATGTGCTGTGTGAAGCGGTCAAAGATGGTACCTCCAGGGTTGGTTCTTATGGCCCTTGCCGCCTTCTCCAAGATCATATTAAAAAGGGGAGTAGCCTTGGTGTCTCCTTGCATTATTCCCGAAACCACAGAGAACTCCTCTGACAGCAATCCTTGTAGTTTCACTCTTCATCTGGTATCTGCCATTGGCATTTTTACTAAGCGAGTGAGCTTCTTAGACAAACCCAGAGAAAGGAGATCCCTCATCAAAACCTGCCTATCCATTGAGTCGTATGCCTGCTGAAAATCAATGTAGAGGTGATGCAGGTCACGTTGTATTCCAGTGATTTCTCTAGCACCTGTCGTGCGGTAAAGATCTGGTCAATAGTCGATCTACCCTTCCTAAAGCCACACTGATATTCGCCTACTTCCCTCTCCATGTGTGATATCAGTCTCCTACCAATGGCAGAGGATATTATTTTATAAGATATGCCAAGCAGTGCTATGCCTCGATAGTTCCTGATTTTAATTATATAATTAAAATAATTATATTTTAATTCTATTCGATGATCAGAAATCTATGGGTCATGGAGTCACGAAAAAAAGTAAGAATATAATTTACGAATGAGAAAGGCTCACAACTTTAATGGAAAAAAAAAAGAAATAATTTTTAACCATTATTTCTGTTCAAGTATTTTTTTTTTAAACGTCCTTACTTTCATTCATATTTAAATGATAAAATTAATTGGAACCTCATAAGTTTTAACAGTTAACTTGTATTGAAGTTGCTAAATAAAAGACAACTTTTAGTTGAAACAGAAATTCATATTAAAGTCTTACAACTTTTTTACTAATATATAGGTCCATCTTATACAGACAGCACCCGATAGATCATATATTCACGATTTTCTCTCACTCTAGCTTGCCTCCCTTCTTATAGATTGGGCATAGGACCGACACTTTCCACTCATCTGGGACCTCTTCTTCCATCCATATATCATAAATAAGTTTATGGAGCACATCCCA